TATCAAACCAATCACTCCCTGTTGGGCTGACCCATGGATCCCAGTTGAAATAGAAACAGGATTTTCACACACACACACACCCCCAACAGGCTAACTGTGCCTCCCGAAGGTCTAACCCCGAGCTCCCTGCTGTCCCACGGATGAGGGGAGGACCTGTCCCTCCCTCCCGGCACCCAGGCCCTCAAGCCTTACACTTGGGCTTGAGTTGGAATTTGTACCTCCGTCCTAGTCATAAAGGGTTGGCTGTGGCTTGGGTTTGGATCAGATGCCTCTGTTCCCAGGGCAGCAAACTGGCTGTCCCTAGACCCCTCTCAATTTTTTCAGGGCCCCAGAAAGAATCCATCCCACCATTTCCCTGGGGAGGGGCTCCATCCATGTGATACCTGGAATAGCAATCTTTCACCTGGTGCATTCCCTTTAGATGGGGTGAGCTCAGCCCTGGTGGCTGAGCTTCTTCTACAATACCCTGATTAACATTTTTGATGCAATGTTTCTGAAATGTTTCTTAGCTTGCACTGATTTACTACAGTTCAAACATTTCGAATCACCCTGGTTTTACCTCATTTCTTGGCTTACTGCCTGTGCCATCAAAGCCATATCAGGGCCGGGCCTGGTGGCTCACACCTGTCATCCCAGCACTGGGGAGGCTGAGGCAGGAGGATCGCTGTGAGTTCGAGACCAGCCTGGGCTACATAGGGAGTTCTAGGTCAGTCTCAACTACATATTGAGACCTTGTCTCAAAAAGCCAAAACAAACAAACAAACAAACAAACACCATATCATATGAGGGAGATCCAATCACCCTGCAGACTGTAATGTAGGCTCCAAGGTCATTGGTAAACTTTATGGTATGCATTGCCTGCCTGCAATCTTTGTTAGCATTATCATAAGCCAGCTGTAACGCCGAGATGTTGACTGCCTGAGGATTAGATTTCTGCCTCTTTTTTGTTTGTTTGCTTGGTTTTTTGTTTGTTTTTTGAGACAGGGTCTCACTATGTAGCTGAGACTGACCTGGAACTCACTGTGTAGCCCAGGCTGGTCTTGAACTCACAGCGATCCTCCTGCCTCAGCCTCCCGAGTGCTGCGACGACAGGTGTACACCACTGCGAAACACTTGGCAGAGTCAAATTCCTCTGGGCGCCTAGCAGCTCTCTGTAACACCTTTTGATACTCGGGTGACAGCTCGTGGCTCCGACTGCGACTTCTGCCTGGGCCAGGCCGGCTTCTGCAGCTCCAGCCGAGGAGGAGGGAGTTTGTGCTCGGGCTCCGGAGCGACCCTGGGAGCCTCGGCTGAGGACCCGCAAGGAGCGAGTTCCTCACTGTGTGGGAGGCAGCAAGTTTGGCGGAAGTTTTAGAAGTCATTGAGCAAGCCAGCGAGGCTGCAAAGGTGCCCGAACGGAGCTCGCCAGAGCCCAGGTCGTCGGGGTCTCTGGGGAAATACTTTTTCCTCTCTGTAGAGCAGCGCGGAGGTTTTCTCGCGCACGCTGAAAAATCTTTAAATCTAAGATTCCCCACCCGCAGGAATCCCAGATCATGTCTCTAAACATCTTTTAGCGTTTCTTCCATACTGCGGACTGACACGGTATCCTTTGTTTAAGAAGAGCATGGAGAGCTGCGGATTTAGCCCAGTGGTTCCGCGGCCTGCCTTGCAAGCACGAGGACCTGAGTTCGATCCCAGATTTAAAAAAACAAAAAAACAACAAAAAAAAAAGAGCTTGGAGCACATGGATGTAAGTTTGTTGCTCTGCTGAGAAAGATTGCCCTATATTTTCTCTCTTTATTTTATTAAGTCCCAGTTAAGTTTTTGCTCACGACTGAAGCACTCGCCTCTTTTCTGTGTGTATGCTCCTGCGGACACCCTTTGATGACACAAGCCCCTTGGTCCCTGACTTCTTTTTATTCTTTTTACCCTGGTAGCTTCACTGAGCTGGTCAGGCTCCCACGATGGGCTCCAGTCGCCAGAGACCCCTGCAGTGAGTCTCGGGTCCCCACCTGCCCAGTGTACGGCGCAGCGTTGAAAGAAATCTTAAGACCGAGTTAAAGTGTGAACTGCGGCCTCCAATGATCCTTTGGCAAAGGGCACTGGCCCATGTCTTCTACCGAATTTTATTATTCACCCATAGACGTGCGGTACGTGAAGTTAGCATGGAAACTAATGCAGGCGAGGCTTTAATGAGCAGTCAAAGCATTCTCAAATTCGGAACAGGAGAGGGGCTGTAATTGGAGCACTGTCCTCCAAGCGATGAAGGCCCTAACCGTGTGAGTGGAATCTGAGTGGGATCCCCTGGACCTCAGCTAAGGATGTCGCCGCGCATCAGCCCCATGGCTCCCCAGGCTGTCACTCTGGGCTGGGCGGTGGCCATCAGCGTCAGCGGGGAGGTCGCGTTCACCTGCTCGCTCCGCAGTGCTCCTGAGACCCTTGTGGGAGTCCGGGGGCTTCGGTCAAACTCGCTCCTTACAGGGAGGGTGAAGGGGTTCACTCTGCAGCCTGCACTGCGCGCTCGGCCTGTTTGGGGCCTGATCAATGCGCTGGGCTCGGGCGGCAACGACCAAAGCGGAGAGGAAGTACAGAGGGAGAATGGGAGAAAGGAACGAGGGAAAGGAAAAACATAGGAGAAAAGAAGAGAAAAACGAAAACAGAGCTTTTGTAAATAGGGAGGGGTGGTGGGGTGGGAGGGAGGCCAGGGGATGAAAAAGAACAAAAAAACAAGAAGCAAGATGCATTAAGTGCAGGTACGCGTCCCCAAGATGAAAGAGATCGTAACGCATACCTAAAATGTGCCGATAGACGTAATGGGGGACAGTAAATACATGAATAAAAGGCGCCTGGAAGAGAAGTTGCTTTGGGTCCCCGGGGAGCGCAGAGACGCGGCCAGTTTCCCCGGAACTCGCGCCGGCGTCGGGGCGCAGCGCGGGTGGGGAC